CAACATCATTCTTTAAAGAACTAGAAAAAAGTGATGACTAACTTTATATGGAAAGGAAAAAAGACTTTGGATAAGCCAAGCATTGTTTAAGAAGCAAAAAAAAAGTTGGAGGTCTCTCACTCCCTGATTTCAAAATCTACTACGCGGCCACAGTGGTCAAAACAGCCTAGTACTGGTACACTGAAAGATATATTGATCAGTTTTGATATATTGAACAGAATTGAGTCCCCAGAAATAAATCAATCATACAGTCAGCTGATATTTGACAAAGGGGAAAACATGTTAAACAGGGAATAGAGAGTCTCTTCAACAAATGCTGCAGGGAAAACTGAAAATCCATTTGCAGAATGAAACAAGACCCATATCTTACACTATATACAAAACAAACTCAATGTGGACTAAAGACCTAAATGTAAAACCTAGAACTATAAAGATCTTCAATGAAAAATTAGGGACAAACTAGGGGTGTCTAATACATGGCATAAATACATGGTCAAACACAATTACAAACTCAGAAACAGTAGAAGACAATATCGATGCCTGGAAACTCCTCAAAATTAGATGCACAAGCACATAAAAAGATATCACCTAAAAGTAAAAACAGAGCTCACAGACTGGGAAAAATGTTTGCAATGACATATCAGACAAGGGACAAGTCTCTAAGGTTTACAGAAAACTACAACACCTCTACAAAAATAGAGACAGACAACCCGATTAAAAAATGGAAGAGGACATGAACAGACATTTCACCAAGGAAAACTCAGGCAATCAACAAATATATGAAGCAATGTTTACAATCTTTAACCATTGTTGTTGTTGTTAAGTGCCATCGGGTCATTTTTGACCATAGTGATCCTGTATAGGGTTTCCAAGGAGCAGCTGGTGAGCTTGAACCACCAACCTTCCAGTTCAAACAGCTTTGCAGTCTGGTGTATTAACCCACAGCACCACACCAGGACTCCAATCTTTAACCATTAGGGAAACGCAAATCAAACAATGAGCTATCATCTCACCCTAGCATTAATAGGAAAGTTTTTTAAAAACCAGAAAACAATAAATGCTGACAAGTGTGTAAAGAGACTGGGACCCTCCTACTGCTGGTGAGTCTGTCAGGTGGTGCAACTACTGTGGAAAACGGTATAGCGCTTCCTCAGAAAGTTGAAAATAAAATACTGTATGGCTCAGCAATCCCTCTACTTGGTATACATCCACAGAATAAAAGCCAAAGTGTGAGTAGATGTATGCACATCGATGTTCATTGCAGCACTATCTACAACATCAAAAAGATGGAGACAGGCTAACTGCCCATCACTGAAAGATTTATAAACAAACTTTGGTACATACACACAATTAAATACTATGCAACAATGAAGAATAATGATGAATCTGCAAAACACCTTATAACATGAATGAATCTGGAGAACATCAGTTTGAGTAAAATTAATCAATCACAAAAGGACAAATATTGTATGAGATCCCTATTATAAAAATGCAATAAAGGTTTTCATAGTTAAAAACAAACAAACAAAATTCTTCAATGGTTCCCAGAGGTGGGAGAGGAGAGTAACTTACTGACTAGAGGGTAGACACATGTTAACTCAGGTGACAGGGAGGGCAATATGCAAGAAGAGGGTGGATGGCAGAAGAATGATGAAGCCAGGTAAAGATACACGGAGATATGAAAATGCTACAGATAAATAGCATTATATATACTACCTTGGAACAACATTATTCTGTGTGTAGTCACACAGATAGACACACAGGTTGAACAAATATAGGATGAAGAGTGAGAACCTACCCACAAATATATAAGGATTTGAAAGAGACAATTTGCTGGAAACACATCTGTGAATGTGGTGGAGCTTTGTTGTTGTTGCTGTGAAGTAAAGTGCCATGGAGTCAATTCTGACCCATAGTAACCCTGTATAAGGTTTCTGAGGAGCAGTTGATGGAGCATACAAGGGGAAAAATAATGAAAATGTTTACATTTTATCAAACATGTTAATGCAATGAGTTGCTGGTCCTTGGGTCTTAGGACCATAGTCTCACAGAACACCATGGTCAATTTACATAGCATAGTCCCTAAGGACAATGTACTACATCCTACTTTGGGATTTTAAAATATTATGAATGGCCATCTTCCATGCAACTATTGGTCTTCCATGTGCAGAAAAAGAAGAAGATGCTTGGAATCAATTAGTCCAATGGATTAATGGAACATATGAACATCAGTTTCCATGGATGAGACTAGAAGAACTAGATAGTGTCTGGCTATTTCTACCAACTTCTCTGAAAGGAATCACTTGAGAAGGTCCTGGATAGAGTGGGAGAAAATGTGGAACGAAACTCAAAATTATATTTTAAAAAGACCAGGCTTACTGGTCACAAAGAAACTGGAGGAACCCTAAATTATGGACCTCGATCACCCTTCAGTTCTGGGAAAGAACTCACCCTCATGGCGCAATTTTCAACCCAGAAGTAGACATGTATATGCTGTCGTTGTTGTTAAATGCCATTGAGTCAGTTCCGACCCATACCGACCCTATATACAGCGTTTCTGAGGCTGTAAATCTCTATGGGAGCAGAAAGCCTCATCTTTCTCCCAAGGAGCAGCAGGTAGTTTCAAACTGCTGACCTTAAGGTTCACAGGCCGATTCATAACCACGATGCTATCAGAGCTCCTAGACATGTATATAGAGGGGACAAAAACAATAGTAAAGTATGTTCACTGTAGAATCATTGAAAATCAAAGGGGCAAAGTTTACATTAAGGACAAAGTTGAGAAAGGATGGGAAGGAGGGTGGAATGGAAACAGGAAGCACAGGGAGGAAGTGGGACAACTGTTGTTGCATGGAGGGGATGGCAATCATCGAGATAAAAGAAAAGGCAGGGTTTGTTGAATAGAAAACTGATGGTCTTGTCTTTAAAGCTTCACTCAATTCACAATAAAAAGTTTTAAAAAATAATAATATATAAAGCCAATATTCTTTAGAAGGAGGAACCCTGGTAGTACTGTAGATAAGCACAGGACTGAGAAAGATGAGGCTTTCTGCTCCTGCAAAGGTTTACAATCTTGGAAACCCTATTCAGGGTCACTGTGAGTCAAAATCAACTCACATTAAATTAAGGCAGTGGGCTTAATTTTTCTTTTTTCTTTCAAAGCTGGAAGAAAATAAAATTTAACACTTTATCTTAGGTACAGTGCTATTTTTAAAAATTTCTACAATTAATATGAAATTGTGTAGTTTTTAATATTACATATGCATGTAATTTTATTTCACCTGTTTAAAAGCTTTGGCTTTCCTTAATTCTTTCTCTGATCTGTCCATAAAAAGGTTTAGTTCATTTATTTTTGTCTTCAGAGATTCTTTTTCATCACAAATTTTACTGTTGAACTTCTTGATAAAGTAAAGGTCATTCTATAAAAAGAAAAAGGTAAATGTTATATAAAAATCTTTTAACAAATAACTACATTAAATACATATTATATTAAAGATATCAGATTAAGTTGTATATCCCATTAAATAGTTACAATAATCAGATTTTTACATCTCATTCTTCATGCTATCTCTGACATACATTTACTCACATAGACATATTTTCATTTTAATCATCTACTGATGTTTTGAATTTAGCTTAAGTTCAATGCTGTTGCTGTTGTTATGTGTCATGGAGTTGGTTCAGACTCAAAGCGACCATCCACAGAGTTTCCGAGGCTGTAAATCTTTACGGGAGCAGAAAGCCTCATCTTTGTCCTGCGGAACAGCTGATAGTTTCGAACTGCTGACCTTGCGGCTTGCAGCCCAATTCGTAACCACTACGCTACCAGAGGTCCTTCTAAGTTCAATAGTTCTAGGAAATATTATACATGGTTCCAGTTCTATCTGAGTCATTCATTCCATGGTTGCCCATGAGGATGAGAATCAACTTTGTTTCCATTCATGGTTCACCACTCCCATACTGGAGTTCACTGATGCAACTCAAGTTCCATGTGGTACAATCATGAACAGTCTGAGGAAATACAGGATGCTAGTCAGCAGCACAAGCTATGGAATGAAATGGCCTTGACTACATATTAGCCATCTAACCCTGGTGAGCCACCTACTCTAAATCTCTACAACACAGATAGCTGTGTCCACGTCACTGTGTTGTTGTGAAGAGTATAGAAGTTACTGTCACAAGTATGCACAACAGTGTCTAACACATAGAAACACCATCTAAGTGTCAGCTACCATTATAAACTTTATTATTACGTATAAAATCACAGATTGCTGGAAAGGAAAATGCTACATAAGGTCTTATTCCTTGAAATGGAGCTTTGGTAGCATAGTTGTTATGAGTTGGGCTGCTAACTGCATGGTCAGCAGTTCAAAACTAACAATGGTTCCACGGGAGAAAGATGAAGCTTTCTGTTCCCATAATGACTTACAGCCTCAGAAACCCTATGCAGGGTCACTATGAGTCAGAACCGACTCCACAACACATAACCACCACCACCACCACCCTGCTACTTCTTCACCAGAAACCCAATAGAGTTTGTGTTCTTTGCACCCTCTTAGTTCTCACATCAAAACCTTCCTAATTCTAAGATCCATCTTGATCTCTCTCATTTCTCTTCTTTCCTCCCTCAGTCTCTTCCTTTCTTCTTTCTCTTGTTTTTCTGTGCCCTGTACTTATCTGACATATCAAAACATAACAAGACAGCAAGAAAGTAAGAAGAGAAATTTGGTTTTCCATCAAGATTTGATTTCATGACATTAAATTTTGTAAAAACAGGACTGAACTTTGAAGTAATTTTTTTTTTTTTACCAGAAGAAATTCATTTTCATTAGACAAAATCATAAATGGAGTGAGACAGGTAGGAGTATGCAGAACATTACAATCTGATGCTGCTATTGAGAAGAACAAACCTTCACTAGAAAGTTGACTAGCTTTAATATTTTGTAATTCTCTTGTATTTCTATTAATGTATTTGTTGTTGTTATGTGCCATTGAGTTGGTACCAACTCATAGCGACCTTATGCGCAGCAGAACGAAACACTACCTGATCCTGGGCTAACCTCACTATCTTTGCCACGCTTGAGCCCATTGATGCTGCCACTTTGGCAATCCATCTCGCTGGGGTTTTTTCTCTTTTTCTCTGACCCTCCACCTTACCAAACATGATATCCTTCTCCAGTGACTGGTCCCTCCTGACAGTATGTCCGAAGTTAATGTATTTATATCGCTGTTAAAGTCAGACTTGGGGTAAAGTAGGCAAGACATTTAAAAGGCAGAGTATCAAGAGAACCATTCCAACACAGCTGAACAGGTACAGTCCAGGCAGGAAGGAACAGGAAAACTGGATGAAAGGAAACAGTGAGTCAAAGGCAGAAATGGGGAACATGCTGACACACTGACACACTGGGGATCGCAACCAATGTAACAGAAGAATTTGTGTGCAAACTGCTGAATGTAAACTTTCTACTAAGTCACACTAAGATAATTTAAAAAGAAGAAATAGAAAAATGGATTGGTTTTCTAGACATTTAAGAAAGTAACTATTAGATAGAAAATACGCTTTCCAAAAATAAACAGGCACAGGCAAAGCCAGAGTCAAGAAGCATGTCTGGAAAGAAGTCACCTTCCCATCATTCTGTAGCATTATTTTTCTCATATGCTAAAAAAAAAATCAGTTATTGAGCACCTACTGAAAACACAATACTCAGACCAACATTGCTTCTGGTTCTCCAAAATACCTATATTTTTCTACTTAATAGGTGAGTAAACTAGGGCTCAGAAAAGTTAAAATACACAGTTGTGATATAATCTTGAGATTCAAAACTAGCTCTTTCTGGTTCCAAAGTATGTGTTACTTCCATTTAAACTAAAATTTTAAAACATTTCCTCAGACTACAAAGTAACAGTCTAAAGATTTTGTCATATTAAAAATCAAACCAAAAATTTTGTCATCTTTAGGAAAAAAAAAACAGTAAAAGGAAAATAGAGAGGGGGGTGGGGGATGAGGGTGGAGGGTGGTGGAAAGAAACAGTTCCTTCCCACCTTTTGCTATCCTCAAGGAATTTAGGACAAGTATTCCTATGACCACTAGAGGTCAGTCATCACTAGTCTTTCTAACCATATATGAAACCTGCTGCCAAAGCTTACTCTTGAGTCTGGGCAACCCAATGTGATTGAGTAGAACTGTTCCATAGAGTTTCCTACACCATAGTCTTTATGAGAGCAGATGGCCTCGTGTTTCTCCCAGGTGGGTTCAAATCATTAGCCTTTTGGTAAGCAGCCAGCACTTAATCACTGCACCACCAGGACTCCTTCCATGTGTATAAAACAGAATTTAAACCCTGTCAAGTTCTCTTATTCCTTTTAACATCCATGCTTTCATTCTTCACTCTCTTAATCTCTAGTAAATGCTAAAAGAGAAAACTAGGACAGTTTCCCCAGCACATGTTTTTTATATTACAATGAACATAATAATATGCCCAAAGATGAAGAATGTTTTCGCATGATTAACAGAATTAAGTAATTTGAAAGATTGTTGGAGCTGCACAGATGACCCACAAAAGAGCAGCTTTTCTTTTAGATCTTGTTTCATAAACAGATTAAGGGTAATAAAGCTATTACGACAGATGCATAATATAAAACTGGGATCTATCAATGTTCTGAATGAATATAGTATAATAAGTATTTTGAAATCGCATGCTCTCCCATGTAGAGACTATACTACTAGGCAAATGACTTAATGTATAAATCAAGGTAATAACGTTGTTGTTGTTGTTGTTGTTATGTGCTGTAGAGTTGGTTCCGACCCACACACATATATAATCTAACCCTGTTTTAATTCTATAGTCCTGGAGTCCTGGTGTGGTGCTGTGGGTTAACGCGCTGGACTGCAAAATCAGTTTGAACCACAAGGCTGGTGGTTCAAGCTCATCAGCCACTCCTAGGAAACTATACATGGTCACCATGGGTCGGAACCAACTCGATGACAACAACAACATACATTGTCCTGGTGTCCTGATGGCAAACCACATGGAAGGCAGTCCAAACCTACCAGCTGCTCCTCAGAAACCCTGTACAGGGTCACTATGAGTCAGAACTGACTCAAAAGCACTTAACACCACCAACATATGTATATCAACTCTACAGCACACAACAACAACAACAACAACAATGTATATATACATATGCTGATGTTGTTAAGTACTGTCAAGCAGGTTCTGACTGATCTCCACCCTATATAAGGTTTCTAGGGAGTGGCTGGAGAGTTTGAACCACCAACCTTGAAGTTCAAACCAACATTGCAGGTCAGTGCATATCCTGCAGCACCACACACACACACACACATGTTACATTTGAGGGAGCGTAAAAGAGTTGGTGGAAAAATTCTATTTCTCACAAGCTTTTTGAAGTCCTCTGGTAGCATAGTGGTTACGAATCGGGCTGCTAACCTCAAGGTCGGCAGTTCAAAACTACCAGCTGTTCTATGGGAGAAAGATGAGGATTTCTGCTCCCGTTAAGATTTGCAGCCTCGGAAACGCTGTGCAGGGTCACTATGAGTTGGAACTGACTCCACGGTACTTAACAACAACATGTAATATAATGCATTTATTTTAATAATATAATTATATTTATGAATATTGTATTGTGGTATGGCACTGTCGGTTAAGCACTGGATTGCTAACTGAAAGGTCCAAAAGATGAGAGGTTCAAACCAACCAGCCACTCTTTCGACACCCTATACAGTGTTACTGTGAGTCAGAACAGACTCAGCAGCACTTAACAATAACAGCAAATACAATATTAAAGGCACAAACAGTATAATTACTTAGCATATGGTAAATTCTCAATAAATGTTAATGTTGATGTTGTTATGTACCATTGAGTCAGTTTCAACTCACAGTGATACTGTATAGTTTCCAAGGAGCAGATGGTGGGTTTGAACTGCTGAACCTTATAGTTCACAGTCCAGGGTGATCTTACAGCACTACATCAGGAGGCCAAATGTTAACATTACATTCCACTAAGTATAGGCATCTGCACATTAGTTCCTAAATTTGTTACATATGTGAGTAGTTTGACAATCAGCCTATTTAAAGGAAAGTTTTACGAACATGCTGTCTTAAAAAAGAATGACTCATGACTAGAATAAAGAGCTCTGGTAGTATAGTGGTTACAAGTTGGACTGCTAACCTCAAGGTCAGCAGTTCAAAACGACCAGCTGTTCCTATGAAAGAAAGATGAGGCTTTCTGCTCCTGTAGATTTACAGCCTCAGAAACACTACACAGGGTCACTATGAGTCAAAACCGACTCCACGGCACATAATTACCACCACAATGACTAGAATAGGAGCCCTGGTAGTGCAGTGGATTACAAGCTGGGTTGCTAACTGCAAGGTCAGTAGTTCAAATCTTCCAGCCACTCCACAGAATTAAGATGAGGCTTTCTGTTCCCATAAAGATTTACAACCTCGGAAATCCTATACAGGATTGCATGGAGTTAAAACTGACTCAGCAGCACACTACCACCACTGCAATTACTATGATACTTTCAAATTTAACAAGTATTTTGGCTAAGTTACATCAAGTTTCTTGATCTGTGTTTCTAAGAGGCCACATGTCGATTTTTTCTCTTCCAATGTCTTTTTAAGTTCAACAATTTTTGTTTCAAGGGCTTGTTTCTCTTCAGAATTAATTTCCCCCTTTAGCCGTGACATTCGCCGCTCCACTTGTTGAATGTAAAAGTCCTGTCACAGTTTGAAAAAGAAGAAGTTAATAAGGAGAAACAGTTAAAATCATTACTATAAATGTAAAATCATAGTAAATACTTTGCTAGAAGTTGGGCCTGAATGTTATTCTTTATCAAAATCACCTTCACCCTGCAGTAATTGATAGGGAAATAAAACCTTCTTTAAGGCAGCAACAGCAAACTATTCTTCACCAACCAGGGTGCATGACAGGGACACATAAGTACTCTTCTTAAAATACAGCAAAAAAAAGTCAGTGAGGGACTGCTTAGTACACTAACAGGATGGAACGAACCTCAGTAAATTCACTGACAGGGATTTTGTGGGGTATGTTTTCTAAGAGCTGCAAAAAAAGATAATGAGTCATAAATTGTTAGGCATGAGAGGATCAAATTTGATGAACTTCTTACAAATTATTTCCAGATAATTTAAGTATCTGTAATTTTGAGAAATTAAGAACATATTAGATAAGGAAATTAATAGAAAAAGAGAGAAGACATTAAGAAATTAACATGACAACAGAATATAAAAATTTTACTAACAAGAACAAATGAGGAAAACATTACAAGAATATTTCAAATCTATGGGCCTGGAGTGGAGGAGAAGTATGTTTATCCGACTAAGAAATGATACATAGTTCTTAGGATTCGCATAACTAGAGTTGTCTTTTCTCTCACCTGTATGTTTCAGATCAAGAAAAAGCTAGCTGTCTAAGGTACCTCACCTTCAGTATCCATTTATCCCTCCAAAAGAGTGTTTAGAAATCTTTGTTTCCTTGGGATATGGGGGCATCTTGAGTACCACAAAAAATCAACATGGAAGGTATTCATAATGGTCACATTTACCTGACTGTACATAATTTCTTGCTGCTTCAAAGTTTCAAAATCCAGTTTATGTAACTGATGGTTGAGATGTTTTAGAGAGGATCGAGTTCCTTCAATTTCTGATACAACAGATTTTTCTTTCATTGTCTCAGTCTGTAATTCCTGGACTTTCTTAAATAGCACATCTTTCACTATGTTCAACTGAACTTCCACTTCCTGGTAAGAAGAATAATTGTGCTTAATAAAGGTTATAATACCTTGAAGTGCTTTTATTTATAAGAAATATTATAACGTAGGGACTTACATTAATAAAATTCAATCTCCCAACTTTTAGTCCCCAAGAATATATAAGGCTCTTACTACAATATCAACAAATCTCTAACATTTCTTGTAGTATATTCCATATTCTATTCCTGCCATCTATCTTCTATTCCTATCATCCTAATTTCATGCTATCTTAGCATCAGAACTTGGTCATTCTGCTGGTTTCCTCAGAAAATGAAATTCACTGGAGACACAGAGCTGGAAAATTCACAAAGTGTACTGGAGTCTTGAGAACGTTACAGGAAAGAAATCCCATTATCCAGTGGGACACTATTCAGTGGTGAGTGGATATTTAACAACCAACTCTTCAGTGGATCAGTGAATGAGGGGAGAAGCCAATTTCTGTGGTGTGAATGCTCCCATTATGGCAGACCTCAAGCTACTATTCTAACTCTACTAAATGCAGAGTCCTGGCATAGGATAAGCACTGGACTGCTAAACACAAAGCCGGAGGTTCAAACTCGCCAACTACTCCTTGGAAACACTATACAAAGTCTCTATGACTCTGAATTGACACTTAACAACAATAACAACAACAAATTGCAGAGTTGGAAAGCGAGGCACAGTAGCAGATAATCAGACAGTACTTCCACCTACAGATATAATAGATGTAAGTAACCTTAATAACATAGATAATAGTAAAATGTAGTCAAATAACTTGAAAAAAGTAAGTTATAAGTATTTATTAAGGAGCTCTGGTAGTGTAGTGGTTACGAATCAGGCTGCTAATCTCAGAGTCAGCAGTTCGAAACTACCAGCTGTACCATAGGAGAAAGATGAGGCTTTCTGCCTCCGTGAAGATTTACAGCCTAGGAAACCCTGTACAGGGTCGCTATGAGTC